TACTCCTACTACCCACCCATGAGCCCCAGGGCCTGATTAAGCACTTACGAGTTGCTCAGGACACTTAGGAATTTGGGGCCCCTTCTACCACTGGTGATGAATAATAGATAAATAAAAGTTTGAGGATGATAAATCATTAATCAGCTTTGCCGCTGCTGTGTAGGGTTGAATATAAATACCAACTTAAGTCATAGCTGGGCAGGTGGGGCCATTGCTCTCTTTCCTGGATATTGGGCCCTAAACTTCCTTAGTTTGTCCTGGCAGAATTCATTCTCATCCCATCTCTCACCTGAGCTCTGCCTTGCCCCCGTCCCTTGCACCATGGATTTACAAGTGGACCCTTGCACCCATACTTCCTCCTGGTCCTGGTCTCCCTCTCCCATCAGAGTCCAATCTGCTTTCACCATCCTTTGGCAGCTCAGACAGCTGCTCTTTCTGCAGGACTTTTACCAGAGCAACGGGAATGTTTAGAATGCATCATGGGAGGAGGAGATTGGACAAAGTGGGTCTTTTAAAGAGGAGGAGGGAGGGAAGGAGGGAGGGGGAGGGAGGGAGGGAGGGAGAGAGAGAGAGAGAGAGAGGCAAGTGCTCTCTTCAAATATTTCCAAGTCCCCTGATGCATAGGGGGTCAGATGTGCTCCCAAGGACAGCACTAGCACCTGGCAGCATTAGCAGCAGGAAGTAACTTGAAATATCCTTAATTATTTCAGGTGTCCAAACAAAGATCTGGGTGGGCTGCCAGGAAGGATAGTGAAGTCCTCATCACTGGCTATAGTCAAGCAGAGGTTGGATGATCACCTCTCTGCTGCAAGGATGATTTCTACCCTGGGTGAAAGACTGGACTGGGAGCACTCTAAGGTCCTTTTGCCTCCCTAAGCTAAGGGCGGCTCAGAGGTGGGGCAGGACTCCTTGGGGCTGGCTATACCAGGGGCCACCAGTGCCCACTTCTGGCCAGTGAGGTAGGGCACTTTGAGCTTCTGCCACAACTCCCAACATGCTCTGCACATGTTCCTCATACAGCTGAGCCTTTCATGACTACCACTCTCCCCTCATGTCACCAAAAGGCCTTGTCCACCACAGCTGTGCAGGCCTGGCCAGAAATACTCAGAGGGCAGTAGCCTGGCACCCGTGGACCCTGCCTGTGGACACTGCCATTCCTGCCACCTTCCTGCCCTGCGATGTCCTGAGGAAGAAGCCCAGGTAAGTGATGCTGGCTCTCCCTGCACTGGGTCTCATACACTCCTCCCCCAGCTGCTGCTGCCCTTGGTGCAGCTGGCTCGCACCCGCCCTCCAGCCCAGCCTGGATCCCGCTGTCCTGTGATTATTCCCTCGTCTCCTGCAGGCATCTTGGCTGGAGCTGGTGTTTTTGTTGTCTTGCAAGCTATCAGCAGCAGGATTTCACTCTCATGAGCTGCTGAAAACATCAGTGATGGGTTTGTTTGTATTTGCCTAATTAGGCATTGAGCTGTGATGCTATCCCTAGGACTGGCAGCATCTTTGGAAAACAGACTCAGAAGCATAGATTTCGGGACCTTCTAGCTCCTCCACAGTATCATTAATCTCTGTCTACTCCCAAATGAGGCCAAATTATCTGGAGTGTGGGTTCTACAGTCAAATTGTCTGGTCCAATGCCAGGTTATCACTTCCTCACTCTGTTGTCCGGGAGGAGTTACTTTAACTTCATGTGCCTCACTTTCCTTATTGGTAAAACAGGGGCAATGCTAGTAGCTCATAGGTGAAGACCAGACAGGATAATCTATGTAAAGTGCCTGCACAGTAAGTCGTCTATAAATGTTAATGTAATAAAGATGAAGAGCTTTATCTCTGCAAGGGACAGCAGATGGGGCACAGGCACCATTTGGGACTAGCAGACAGGGTCCCACACACTGGGATTGGTTATCTAGTGGAGGCAATTTCTTTCTTGACTGTGACTTTGTTTACCTGTCAAATAAAGGGAAAATCCTTTTCTCCCTCTAGATGATTGCAGATTTATGAGATAATATCTGAGAAGTATTTGAGCTTCTTAGGAGAAAAATGTTCTATCCAGATGAGGGAGCACATTTATAAATCATTTTCTTTGACTGGTGTTTCCAGTCAGAGGGATACTTAGGTTCTTGCTGAGAGCATTGCTCCTGGTAGACTGGGTGGGGTGACACGGTTAAAATGGAAGAAGACAGAGCTGCAGCAGATGAAGTCTTGCAATAGTAGGCCTCGGTTTCCCTGGAGGAAAATGTTCTCAGCATTAAGTGTCCTGCGAATACTTGCAGATTGCACTGAGCTCTGTTATGCTCCCTCCCTTATCAGCCAAGCAAGCAGTATTTATTGAGCCTGTAGGTATCCATCCTTATTGTCCGGATAGCATTTGGGGGACAGATGACTAAGTACAGAGCTAACATCTCCCAGGAGTTTGAGACTTACTGGTTGTGCAGACAGAGGGATCACCTTTCTTCCATAACTGGTGTCCAACTGGAGAGGAAGCAGCTTATCAGAGCTCCGTGTTCTTTTTACCATGGAGCAGGCCCCTCTCCTGGATCCTAGAAGCTGTTTATGGGCAATTATCCATGCCATGATGACCACTCTGTGAACTGTCCCTGGTGTAGTGGGACCACTTCTGGGCCACTGACCTAGCAAGATTCCTGTTCCTGACCGAAAGCTGAGAACCTAGTTAGGAGTGAGACAGCCTCCTTAACTAGCAACAGGCCAAGTTCAGAGCCACCCAGAGCACGAGCAAGTCTCATGTGGGACGGTCGTGATGTTCTCCCTGTTTCTCTAGGGTAAGAAAGTTGAGAGTCTCTGGCATTGGCTGGTTCTCACAGCACTTAAACTTTATGGCAGCACAGTATATTTCGGAGATGTTATTGTGTATTTTATCCATGCTAAGCTGGGCTGCAGCATTCAAACCCTGTGACTGCTATTGACCATTGCTATGATGTTTCAATATACATTTTTGGCAAGACATAACTCACATTTTAAAATATTAATTTCCCAACCATCATGTTCCTGAGTGCACTTCGATTTTTATTTTCCTGCAGCTGTACACCATGAACAAGGCAAAGCTACTTCTCAGTTGAATACATATTTTTCACTCATCCTCCTCCTTCAGCCATTCCTGGACCACCAGGGAAGGACACCCAGACCAGTCCTTCTGAATTGTGCCATTTATATCAAGCTGAGCAGCTGAGTACCTACCCACCTGGGGGCACAGGAGTCATGGCTGATGGGGAGTGAGCAGGAGGACAGTTCCTTTCTCTTTTCTCCTGGGAAGGGTGCTTTGGAAAGGGGCTTGTATGGCTGTACAGAGTAGCCATTTGCAATAGTTAACACCTGGAGCCAACCAGGGCCTTCAGTGTTTACTGTGGACATCTCCTGTATTTTCTTTTCTTCCCATGACAAGATGACCCCTATGGTCAACCAAATTTCTTCATGAGTTATTAGTTTACATGGATCCCTTATTGGGTGAGAAGCTGGATCATACCTTGATAAATGAGGGATACATTATGGGTCAAGAAACAAAAACACTTCATTTCTGGAAATCAGACTTTAGGTGAGTCATGTTTGACTTTGGAATAGATTCTCCAGGGTGACATTATGCTAGGGTTAGGACTAACCACAGGAACAGAGGGTTTACTTGTGGTTCATTACTTGTAGCCAGAGCCCCTTGAGCTCTGGGATTCTAGACCTAGCTGGTCTCTGTCTTGGAGCTCCAGGGAAAGCTGGAAGTTTGGTCTCCAAACACCTGTGATGGAAGGTGGGTATTTTCTAGGGAGGGGGCTGGGTGGATGAGGCCCTGCAGCACTGGGCTGCCTGGGGAGGTTTGGAGATACTCACTTGAGAGGTCTCTGCCTACACCCAGGGCCAAGCCGTCTTTGATCCACAGAACGAAGCCATCGTATTCGGGGATGGCGCATAGCAGCGTCACCGGCTGTCCCGACACCACCACCTGGTCCTGGGGCTGCTGGCTGAAGGAGTAGGCTTGGCCTAGGAAGGAGACAAGCACAGTGGTAAGTTCCATGCTGGGAGCAGCGCCTTCAGGGCTCCTCTCAACTTCCTGAGGCAGAGCTGAGGCTGGCCCAGGAGACCAGGTCTCCCCATTGTGCCCCTGGTTCAGGCTGGTTCAGCTTCATCCTGGTTCAGGCTGGTTCCCAACCCCAGCCCCTCTGCTCATTATCCTTATCATAGCACTGAGGACCAATCATACCCAGTCTCCAAGAGGCCACCCACCCATCCTGGGGATGTGTTTCTGCCTTTTCTTTGGGTTAACTCCACTTGGGTGGTTTTAGTCAAACATGGGGATGTAAGATATCAGAGTATAGTTTTAGCGGCTGAAGGCTGGGCCTAGGGCCAATCCAGGAGCAGTATGGGTGGTGGTGCAGAGGGATGGACTTGCTAGAGGGAGCTTCTGGCCAGGTGGCAATGCATCTTCCCATCCCTTCCTTTCCTACAGCAGGCCCTCTTCAGCCTCTCTTGGGCTGAAGTCATCAGGGGGACCCAGGACTCCTGTCTGTCTCCAAATCCAGGTGGCTGGAACCACCACAGCTATCAGTTCATATTTTATTAAACCAACAGCCTCATGGTGTGAACGAGATGCCAGGCTCTGGGCTAAGGTTCTCAAGTATTAGCTCATTAATATTTTCATACTCATAGCAACCTATTATTTTTAATCCCCATTTTCAGGATGAGGAAGCAAGGCACCAGGAGGTGAGAAAAAGTAACAGGAGCCCTGCTGGTGAGTGACTAGCCACTCCTGAGTGTTGTGCCCTCACCGCGGGTGTGACAGTAAGAGCACTCAGTGGGTGGTGTCAACCCCACCCCGCAGGGGTTGGGAAACAGGGCTTACGGGCTGAGTGAATGGCCCAGGGGCTCCCTAGATGCAGGTGAGGTGGTGAATCCACATCTTCCTGGCCTTAAGTGCCATGTTCTCATCCTCCAGGCTGTGCGCATGCCAATCCTGAGGTCTGGTCCTGGCAGCTCAAGCTGCTAAGAAGGGTGGTGACACCGTCTCTGTTCCCTGAGAGGCCACAGGATGACAGGACACTGGCATTCACTGAGCATCCGGGATGCAGGGTGATCAGTGCTTTACACGACCTCTCTATAGTCCAATGAATTATACTTCAGGGAGGAAATATACCCATTTTATAACAGAGAAGCCAGGATCAGAGAGCACAGCAACACTCCAAGGTTGCACAGCTAGTAAGTGTTGGAGCTGGGACTTGGTCCATCTCACGGGACCTGGAACCTGGTGGGTTCGGTGCCACCACGGCCTCTCCTCTCCCTGGTGGAACACAGAAGTCCTGGACACTAGCAGGTGCTCAGGTTGTGGGGGGGACCCAAAACCCTAGCCCGGTCCACAGGGCTGAGTGTCCAGCAGCAGGTGGCCCAGGAAGGGAGCGGGGGATTCAGCTGAGGGTGTGTGGGGGCTCCAGCAAGAGCAGAGATGCAGCTCCACACAGATTGCTCATGACTGCAGGCAGGTAGCTGGGTTCACAGCCTGACGAGGCCTGGCTGCGTCTCTGTGGAGTCTCATTAAAAATCAAATTGGCCTTGAATTGTGGGAGTAACACTTTTTATTCTGATTTGAGCTTTACAAATTAGATTTCATAGGACATTTTAATCAGCTCTGTGTGGTGGATTTTCTCTCTTTCTCTCTCTCCCTGTCTCTTCAAGTTTTCTGTTGTAATTAGACTCTTTCTGGCACCAAAACAAGAGAGAAAAGGAAGGAAGAGATGACAGAAGAGGAAAGGGAGAGGAAGGAGGGAGCAGGAGAGAAAGAAGGGAGCCAGGGAGGAAGAAGAAAGGTGGACAGGAAGTATAGGAGGGAGAGGAGGAAGAGAGAAAGAGGATGGCAAGGGGAGAAGGGAAGGGAGGGAGAGGAGGGGAGGAAGGGAGAGACGAGCCCTCCCCCAGGCACCCCCAGCTCTCCTTGCTCTAAGGATGATTTCACAGTGCATTCTTTTATCTCAAAATCTTTCTGGGAAGGACAGTGTCAAAGCAGCCACAGTAGCCGCCAAAGACTGTGCTATCAGAAAGAATTATCAGGTTGTCATCTGGGAGCTGAAGGGGCCATAATGAGAAGGCCCTAAAGCAAGTAGTGCTGAGCACTCCCAAACGTCCCCTATTAAGAGTGGGTGACTGTCCCACCCCCCCTGCCCCCGTCCTGCTTCCTTTTGGTGGGAGGATGGGAGACCCAGGGTGAGGCTACCTGAGAATCAGAATGTGGGAGGCACGCCTGGGGGCAATGGTGAGTCTGGGACTGTCACCATGGAAACCAGGCTCTGGAGGACACTGGCCTCAATGCCACTGCCATGGAGGTGGGCTCTGAGTGGCCTCAATGCCACTTTGAAGGGTGTCAGAACCAGGAGTGGGGGCAGGCACAGATCCCTGGAATAACTTGTGGGGCAGAGCAGGGGGCCAGAGAGGGCCTGGAGTGCGGGAGGGTCTCCCAATGGGCTCTGAGCAGGCTCCAAGATGCAGAACCCACAGCGACCCCCTAAGGCTTCAGTGTTCAGGCTTTGTCTGTTGGGCTTGCTGTGGAAAGAATGTTTTCGGGGGAAGTGGGATCAAATACTCAGGATTATCTCCAAAACCACCCATGGAACACAATTAGTAAGATTTTGGGGGTGGTGGTGATAAGTATTATAATTGACAATTTTCTTTTTCAGTACAGTTTTAATTTTTGTGTGTCATGATTAAGCCACCAAAATTACTTGTTTCTTTTAAACCAGGTACGCTCTCTCAGATGGACATATTTTTTTCTTGCGGTGATGAGGCTGAAAGCCAGGCCCTTGTGCGTGCTAGGCAAGCCCTCGACTGCTAAGTGTAACATTCAGTTACTAAGTAGATGGAGTAGGCTAGAGTTGGGGTGCTGTGGGGAAGAGAAGGTAGAGGGGAGGACCCTGCTGTTCTCACCCAGGGGACAGACCTCAAGGCTGTTCTTGCCAAGGGTTCTTGGGAGCATATTTTGAAGCCACCAAGGTCAGTCACTGCAAAAGAAGCCTCCTTCCCCTTTCCTTTACTCCCTGCTTTCTCTTATATCCATTTTCTTTCCTACTCCAAAGATGTGAAATGTGAACAATCCTGGGATCATTTTTCATGACCTCTTGGAGGTGACCTTGAGAGGACATCACTCCTGGAGAGCCTTTGCTTATTCCATGCATGCTGACTGTGACCTGCCAGGAGGAGGCGCCCTGTTGTCATGTGAGAAGCAGGGGGCTTGCCCTGGAGGGTGCACTGCACCCCTTATCAAACCTGGAGGGGACCAAGATGGAGACTGATCAGGCACAGAGAGAGCGCTTCATCCTCCCTCTACATCTCTCAGACCTGTGCTTTCTTCTCCATTCTTCCTGCTACAACCCAAGCCGACAACCTCATTGCCTGGGTTCGTCCAGCAGACTCAGCAGCTTCTATCACCATGTCCAGTGGACATGCAGCCCTGCAGTTTTCTTGTTGAATCACCACTCCCCTTTGCCAGGGGTGGACCCTTTGTGGCTCCCTACTGCCTGTGGGACAACACTCCACCTCCTGGGTCACATGCTTTGCACAGACTGACTGGTCCCTGAGGCTTGCACGGCACCCCAGCTGGGTGCCACAGGTGTTACTGTCCCTTGTGCTCTCTGCTCCATGGTCCTGGGCTGTGTGTGCCCTCCTGCCTGGCCTTGCCTCCCTAAGCATCCGCTCCCACCACCTGTGGCCAAGATCTTTTCCCAAGGAACTTCTGGTACTCAGAGGGGTTTTCATCTCTCTTTCTCTCCTCTTCCCACCTCCCTGTTATTCCCCTTTTGGACCTTCCTCAATTTCTCCAAACCTTTATTGAGCATTTCCTCCATGTCTGGTGCTAAAGAAACAAAAATAAAGAGGAAGCAGCATGTAGCCTCCCAGAGAGCAGAAGCTGCAGCCATCTCTTTCCCCAGCATCCCCAGGGCTTGGCCCAGTGTGTGAACATCAGAGGCACCTCTGTTAAAGGACCTATTCTAGATTGTCCCCTGAAATCTGTGATTGCTGTAAGAAAATTTCTTTTGCATTATAAACTACTGACCAGGCAGATATTGTGCTGAATACATACACAGAAGGAGAGAGGTGAGACATAAAGGGGAAGGGCCAGAGTCTCGAGGACCCTGGCTTTATAGGAGGAAAAAGTCACTGAGCCATTCATGGGAGGCCTGCGGGATGTCAGGGCTGGGCCCGTGAATGTACACACTGCACGAGCAGCTTGTGTCAGTCATTCGTGTCCACATTTTATAGGTGAACTAAATGCTACAACTTTGGTTCCCCAAAGGCCCTGACTTAACTCGGTTTGACAAGATTTTTGACTGTACCATAGTGTAAAAGAGACACACATGCAGTAGAAACTGCACCATGACTTTACATTTGGAACTTTTCTTGGGCTAGCAATGTAGGGCCCAATCCTCTTTTGTGACCCTGGGCAGTGGTAGTAAGCCACAGCTACAGGTAGCCATACAATCACAAGGGGAAACAACTGAGACACGGGAGTGCTGTGGTGCTAAGCTTCGCTGTTTGGCCTGTTAGGGGGATCACATGCATTTCCAGTTTAAGATATTTCCATCAGGGGTTTATTGAGATGCAACCCCACTGTAAGTGGAAACATCTCTACAATAAATAATATTTTAGTGTCCTAAGATTTATAATAGTTAACTTGTACTGAATTTCAAGCATGTGATGAGAGCTTTACATGGATTATTTTATTGTACTCTCCTGAGTCTTGTGACATGAGTGCCATACCAGACCTGTGTGAAGATGAGCTTGTCTGAGGCCCAGGGCACTGGCAGTGAGAAGGAACATCAGGCCTTGAACTCTGGAGCCTGTGCTGCATCCTGAGCTAAGATCCTTATTTGGATCTTAGGATGCAGGTCTTATGCCCTGGGAGCTCAGAGAACCTGCCTTAGCCTCTGTCTCCTGGTGCTGCCCTTGGCCAGTCCTGAAGAAGGGTGTGAACCAGCTCCCGTCATTGGTTTTGTGTTGTCTTCAGGGGCAAAGTCCTCTGGATGGGTCTGAGCCACTGTTAGCTTGGGACACCCCTTGAGAAGGTGAATGTGGGTATGCAGGTGCTGCAGCTCACCACCCCACAACCACTCCAGCCCACAGAACCAACCCCTCTGTCCTTTCATCCAGCCCTTCGGGATAGAGGCAGGTACAACAGTGCTAATGAGTTGGCCCAGGGAATCACACTCACCTGGGTTTGAATCCTAGCACCTCCACTAACTTGCTGGGCCCTATTTTTCCTATCTGTAAGACGGGGACAATAGCACCCACCTCTGAAAGTCATTGTGGAGATTAACAGGGAGAGTACATCTGGACTACTTGGCTCCAGGCTTGGCTCACAATAAGTACTTGGTAGAAATGGGCCTTTCTCATTAGGAATGCTCCTGTTCCTCTCCCAGTGCTGCCCTTTGCCTTCAACACCAGGCTGTGGGCTGTTGAGCTCCGTGGAAGTGGAGTGGAGGTCGGGGGGGGGAGCCCAACCTGGAAGGGCAGATGTCTCTTTATTGATACGATGGGGAGACAAGGAGGGCTAATTAGTATCAATGACTTATTGAGGAAACTCTGCTTCTCTAAAGACAAGAACAGATTGTCCTCTTGGGAGAGGGAGCATGGCTTAGCCTTTGTGTCTCTCTCAGTGGGTCTTGGGCCAGTGTTTGGGGTGGACCTGCTCCAATATTGGAGGTGACCAGCCAGCTGTTATAAGCCATGCCCTGTTGGGGGAAGAGGGGTGGCAGAACTGTCTCACATGACTGCTCCAGGTCCTGGCTTGGTGGGGGTGGGGGTCCTGGCCAGCGAGGGCCAGCTTGGTTCCCTGTCTGACCAGTGCAGAGTCAGTTTCTATCTGTGGAAAAAGGCTGTGTGTGTGCATTTGGCACAGGGCGCTGGAGCAGCTGGGATGGAAACACACTGAACTCCCACTCTTGGGTTAGCTGTCTGCAGAAAAACTTTCCTGGTCGCAGCTGTGGGAGGATGCTCTTGCCCCAGGAGGGGAGGGGTAGAACTAGGGGCCCAGGGACTCGGACAGAGTTTTGCCAGAACCCCAAGATGACCGCCCCAGTCTGCACATCTCCCCTGCACATCCTAGCTGCTGTGGCCTGGGTAGGCCTGGAGCCCTTGACCAAGAAGTGCTGGAGTTGGAATCTGGGTATGGGGACCCCTGCAGTGCTCTCTGTCCTAGCTCAGCAGGAACAAGGAGCAGGAGGAGGCAGAATGCTGAGTAGGTGTGGCTGAGAAGGACAGAGAAGGGTAGCTTGGCGGGGCCGCCCCGATGGGCCACAAGTGCACCCAGGAGGTGGTGCCCAGTCAGTGGCTGGAGCAGTGGGAGGAAGTGAGCAGGCGGAGGTGGCAGGTGGTCCTGCAAGGGACAGGTGCAGCCCTGCCCAGGAAGGGGGGCCCCTGGCAAGCTGTGGTCTTGGGATGGTGCTGTGGGGGGCAGGCAGATGGTGTCCTTCCACCTCAGTCTCAGCACACATAGTGGTCTGCCCCGCCATCCTCATCTCTTTAGACTCCCAGGGTCCCAGGCTGTCCCCTCACCTCTTTTGAGGGACTGTCAGCCCCATTAGCATGGAACAAACAGCCCCCATCTGGCTCGGGAGATCCCGCAGTCTTCCAGTAAAACACTTAAAATGCTGAAGACCCCTGGCTTCTATACACTCCTTCGCTCTTCTGGTCCTCTGAGGCTACCCTGCAATGCTCAATTATTTCCTGGGGAGAGGGGAGGCATTCTAATGTAGAAGGCTGAGGTTACAAGGGCCACATCATAAAGTAGCACTCCAGGGGCTGGCTGCTAGGCACGCGTGCATTCAGGTGTGTTTAGGGGACAAAAGAAATCGTTCTCTCGGCCCAGCCCTTCCTCAGCTAGAACTGTCTGGCCTCTATTCCTTGTCAACCATTTCACATTTTGATTGAACAAATTTTTCTTATTTTAACAGGATGTTGAAAAGCCTCTGATGTAGAATTTTTGGAGCAATTTTTTCCTGCGGCTTCAAGGCTAGCTGAAGGAGCCAAGGTGGAGATGTGCAAGCCTTTGTGGTTCTGGGCCCTCTGACCCCTCTCCTTCTCCACTTTCTCCTCTTCCTCCCTTCCCTCAGCACCCCACCTTCCTTGGACCCCCTCGCCTGCACAGGGCCTGCCCTGCCCTGCTGTCAGGGCATCCAGAAGCTCTGCAGAGGACAGACCCAGAGCTCACAGTGCTGTGTTCTCTGTGTGCAGAACAGGTAGTAAAACAGCCAGAGTCCCCAGGCCCATGGTAGTTGGCATCTCCCCATGCTGGGCTCAGAGAAGCCAAGGAACTCACCCATCCCAGCCACCTACAACCCTCAGCTCTCACTTGCTTGGGGACACATTCTGGCCTGTTGCCAGCCCATAGGTGAAGGTCTCCATACTGTGGCTGCAGAATGTGGGGTAAGAGATAGCATTGACTGGTTAATATGAAGGGTGTGGGATGAGGGGTAGTTGCCATAGCCCAGGCACACAGTCTGTACTGAGCCTGACACTGGGTGGGGTGAGGGGTGCCAGACTTCCCCCTATCGCTCTGCCATCCTGTGTTGGTCCATGCTTGGAGGTCAGCAGGGAGAGGAGATGGTTCTCCCATTTCCTGAACTGGCTGCTTTGCCTGACCTTTGTCCCAGCAGCAGGTCATGAGAGTCCCTGGATGGTCTCACATTTAACCACAGATTACTACACTACCAGGGGCCAAGCGATGGGTCTTACGGAGAGGTCAAATTAAGTTCTTCTAGGGTTTAAGCAAAGCATGTGCCAAGCATGGGAGCTGGGGAGTGGGGAAAGAGAAGGCTTCCTGGAAGTAATGGTGACATGAAGTATGTGATGCGGGAGAAATGTCATGTTAGAGAAGAAGTACAAACAAAGTTATGAGTGGCGAATAATCCTCAGCTGCCTGCTTGGAGTACACAATCCATGGGTCACCTGCCAGGGCCTGTGTCCTGGACAGCAGAAAGAACACAGAGTTAGTGTGAACCTTGGTCTCTTCATCTGCAAAATAGGATGACAACCTTAGTTGCCAAAGCTGCTATGAGGATAATAGCTATTTTGTTAAAATATCCTGGCAAGTGGAATATGTCTCATAAAGGATTATTTTCATCACTGTCCGTGAGTCTCTTCTAAGCCTGGGACTGTTAAAACTGGGGCCACAGTGGCACCTGCCATGAGGGGCCTGGGGGCTGAGAATGGCGCTCTTGCAAATCTGAAGCTGGACCTATCAGAAGTCTGCTCCTTCCCCTCAGTGGAGCAGGTGAGAGGGCAAATGAGGGGACTTCAGGGGCCTGCTGCTTTGGGCACTGCTGCGCTCCCACTCCCCCGGGCCTGTCTCAGTCTCCTGGAGCGTCAGGTCAGCCATGCGGAAAAGGCTCAAATGTCACTGTCTGCTCTGTTATTAGTGACCAACTGGGGAAGGCTTAAGAAAACGAGTATAGGGATATTTATCGCCAGCTTTCTCCCAGCCTGGAGCTTGCAGTAAATTGCCTCTTACGCGATTAAGGAAAGCGGTCCTGTCCTGAGATGCAAGCAAATGGGAGGAAGGTAGAAAGGAGCCAGCTTAGCAGCCCCTAATGACAGCAGCACAATGCCAGGTGTGGAAGGAAGGGACTTCTGCGGTTTTCCTGCTGCTCATCCCAGAGCCAGCTCCTAATGCAGGAGAACAAGCGTCAGAAAATTTCTGAAATGCCCTCTTGTGACCTATTTATGGGTGCAAAGTTGAGGATGATGGCGACAAACTAGGCCATTGACTGACTTCTACCTAATAAATCTGATTTTATGGAGCGGGGGAGGGATGTCAGGGATTGTGCCATCCCTAGGAATAATGCCCTGGTGGCCTCAGGGAGGAGCAGGAGCAGCCTCAGCAGTCTCCAAAGGCCCAGGCTACATGTGGGGTGCAAAGGAGGGACTGATATATCTTCCCCTGACCAGGAGCTTAGCACCTGGAGGAAGTAGATGTATATGCGCCAGGAGCTGGAACAAAAGGCCCTCTTTTTAACACCCAAATGAGGTAAAAACAAAGTCCCAAGGAAAGAGTAAGGGAGTGCTGGCTTCTGAAACGGCCTATAAGGGTAGAGGAGGGAAGATTTCCTGGAATGGAGATAGCCCAAGTAAAGCACGGGGATCAGACTGTGTTCAGAGAATAAAAGCAGTGGTGTCACAATGCTAGACCTGACCCAGCATTGCTGTGTGCCCTGGGGAAACTGCTCAGTACCTCTGAGCCTCAGTTCCCCTTGTGAGGTAGTAAGCACTACTTCTAGGTTTCTTTGTGTAATTTTGTGTAAAATGCTCAGCGCCCTTCTGGTCCTCTGTGATGGCAGCTGTCACTGTCACTAAGAACCTGGTGCAGTTGGTGCATGGAGCACATGTGTGAGGCTGTATTTTAGTACTGCCAGTCTAGAAAGGTGTGGAGTGTAACTGTATGGGCCCTCAGGCACACGCCAAGGTGTTTGTATCTAATGAGAAATCATCAAAAGTTTTGGACCCGTGTCTTAAGAGTTGGGTTTTAGGAAGACCACAGTTGTGACAGTGAGGAAGGTGGATAAAGAAGGATAATCTGAAGATGGGAAGACTGATCGGGAAGATTTTACTGTCATAGGGCTCAGGCTAAAGCTGCATCAGTGGGAACAAGAAAATGGATTTAGGGGCCATTTGGAGGCAGGATTGATGGC